TTACCATAAACTGACGAGTCTGTTATCTGGAATACAAATCTAAAACAGGTCTAGCTCTTAAAAAACTAAAATACTTCCAATAGTGCTCCTGGTATTCACACTGTTTCCAACTTTCCTTCTTTTCAGTATCAGATCGATTTATCTGAACTCGGTTAGTTATGCCTGCGACTCGCGCGGGTGTTCTGCAGCCGACTCCTCGATCGTCTATTGGACAGATGGATCACTCCGTAGTTGGAAACATGTGTTCAGCTTGTACAATTGGCCTCTATGCTCATGTAATTCTTCTGAGGCAGATGCAGAAGAATAATCATAACTGCTGCACATCTCACCTGGCGTCTAATAACCCTGAGACGACAATAAGAAGAATATGTTTAAAGATATGATGATATTCAGATTCAAGACTTCTAAATATGACTGAAGCAAAGTTTGAGCTGCCACAAGTAGCAGGAATCAATATTTTCAGAAATACTGAGGTCAAAAATTGTCCAAAAGCCATCCCACTCCCATAGGAAGTATTGGACTAGTAGATGTTTTCATTATTTATTAACTGCTCAGTTATATTTTCTGTAAATTATGTCTCTCTAAATGCTATTTATGTGTCTCAAAAACAACATATAGAAGGGGAGAAAAACTGAATTAATTTAATATATTTTGATTTAAGTTGATTTGTTGTCTAAAAGCAATCAAATCAAACATCTACAGCATTTTGTTTATGTAGCTCAGCATTAACTATTTTAAATCTTTCAGGGAAAGTCAAAAGTCTCATGTCAGCAAAGTCTGTAATCCATGAGGTTGAGTCACAAATCTTAATAAGCAAAACTGTGGGTCAGTTGCAAGTCTTTAAGGTCTCTGAATGATCATAGAAATTACATAAGTAGCCTAAAACTGTTTCACTGCATAGACCCAAAAATTAAATACTCAAGGTGGGTGTTTATGCAATGCATGCCTATTACAGTCTTTTCGAGGTATTCTTTATTGTTTAAGGATTTTTCCAGTGCCAAAATTTGAGAGTTGAATATTTGTCCTTTTTGCGGCCTTTTGTGTTTTCAATGTTTTGTGGCCCCCATAATTTCACTTTCCTGGTGGTAGTACTTGAGATAGATAGATAGAGATAGATAGTCTGTGAATAAATCATGTTTCTCTGGCTCCTCCTAGCGCTCCCTGTGGTATTTGCAAGAATCCACCATGTGTGAACAAAAGCAACCAGTCAGAGCCGTGAAAGATAGTCAATTGCTGAGGCTCATTCACAGGTTGTCAGAAACAGATGTTTTGGGACCCTGGGAATAAGACTCAACAGTCAATCTTTGCCAAGCCTCTAACCCTGCGGGGATTCTTGCAAATGTCATTATGAGCACTAGAACAAACCAGAGGAACCTGAGTTTTCACAGATTATTTGTCTCGTGTACTACTGTTCGAACCAAGTGTGAACCTATCATGAAGTCACCCAGTGGTTTGTGGAGAACCGTTTTGAAGCCTCGAATTCGGCATTTTGGTCGTCGCCATAACAGATGGAGCCAGCGGAGGAGACATACTGCGAGTTAAGCTGCTCTCATTGGCTGCGCAGTTTTGACTCGTCTGTAGCAGGAAACAATGGCTGCTTGCTTGGTCACAAACAATCTCGTATTCCATATTTCAGTATTCCATTACAGTCAAATATATGTCTAAAATGATTTTAATTGAGGAATAGGCAATGTAGTTACCGAATTTGGATTCATATTTGATCAGCACTACCTAGTTTGACAGTTTGATCTAAGTTTTGTGCACTGAGCTAGACGGACTCACTGAGAGTGGCCTGTCAATCGTAAGGTAGCCACGCCCAAAGGCATATGCAATTTCATTGTCTATTTTACTCTAAATTGGACCACAGTTTACTAAATGAACATCGTGCTGTATAAAAGAAGATGTTAAACTAGAGATTGACACCATAAACTTATTAGGAAACTGTTTACTGAGCTCATAAATCCAAAAAGAAGTCGGGTCATTTCTCCATTAGAGTGAATGGTATTGGTGTGTTATTGCAACCAATGGAGCTCCCCCTGCTGGCCTTTACATATAACGCAGGTTTTAAGACACTTTCACCTTGGCTTCACTTTACAGACCCAGAAGCTCTGTTCAATATATACACTGTCCACGATCAGAACACAAGAAACTTTATATAAACTTAACCTACTGCAGCTTTAAAGTCTCCCCTCTCGCCACCCCGTGAATATCTCTGTAGATCAGCCCCTGCTGCTGCTTTGTAGTGAAGTTTAGGTTTTCAGGAAACAGCGACAGAGTGAGACCTCTTCGCTCGTGTCGCCGTGCAAAGCACGCGGGCTCGGCTCCTCTGCTTGTGCATTGATTGTTGTGGCTCTTCGTCATCCGGAGAAAGTTCGCCCCCCTCACACTTAGTCCGTCTTTTATCCAGCAGCAATATTGCAGAAGCATGGCCGACTCTCAGGAGGACAAACTTTACAAAGCGGAATATGCCAAAAGCGGCCGAGCGTCGTGCAAGAAATGCAAAGAAAACATAGCGAAAGACTCGCTGAGGATGGCCATCATGGTGCAGGTAACGTAGCGACGTCTGCAGGCAGCCCACCCGAAGAAACCCGCTCTGTTAGCTGGCTGAACACCACACTGCCATATTTTTCTACATTAGGAGGGTTTATTCCGCCGATATAGTGACTAATAATCAGCCCACCAGAGGATGATAGTGTGTAGTTGACAGTGTGGGTGCAGTTGTGTGAGGTTAGGCCCTCGTTAGCATTTAAATGGCTGACATTGTGTCTTGTTCACAAAGAGCCGATGAGCTTTTTTTTTTGTTTGTTCTTAATGTCGGATTGTGTGTGTGATGCTGCTGTTCGCGGACACTGAGGCTGGCTCACATTTGAATGCATCTCCAGGTTATATTTTAAAAACAATAACCTGCGTCAACCCCTGAGGAGCCAAAGACACACAGCTTCCTGACCACGATGTAAAGTGTGTCTGCTGCCCCACTGACAATGAATTAACTCAGAGGCTAATAAGAAACCTCCTTATGTGGAGTCAGCCTCCTTACTCACGGCCTGTGGAGCAGCTCCACATTGTCAGTCACTTGACTTTTAACTTTAAAGGCCAAACGGGATCAATATGTTCAACATAATTCAGCATGCTTATGACATTTTAAGTATTACTAAGTATTTTTTTTTGTCATTCATAGAGAATCTGTGTTTGTTTTCTATATAAAACAGCTATATACAGTGTCTTTGTTTGTTTGGAGAGTATTTCCATTCTTCCTCATAGTAGAAGTAATATATTTTTTATTTATTTATTTATTTATTGTGTCATGCTCCTACAAGTGCCCAGCCCACGTGGACTTAAAGAGCCCAGAAATAGCATTGCTGTAGCCAACAATTGTCACACAAGTATAAATATCTTCTTACATAATAGCATTACACTGCAAATCATTTTCTGTTCTCTACAAATAAAAGTTTGCTTTCAAAAGTTTCTTCTCTAAAACACAACTCAGAAACCAAAAACAGAAGAAGTCATTGGACATGTACGACATTGTACTTTAAAGTATAGCTGTTGAATCAGCATCATAATGAGCAATATAACAGGAAACTGACTTTTTTCATTAAGATAAGATATTTGACCCTATATGGAGGTTCATAGTGTTACTGACTCTTTCACATAAAGTTCTACACTATAGTTGTTTTTTATGGGACAACATGTAATTAAGGAGCATCGTTCCTTATGCATAAGGAATAATCTGCTCACAAATATCTGTTTTATATCATAAAAAAGTAAATGAATCAATAGATACAAAATACAAAATAGAGATTTTACCTCACACCATTCATGGGTCTGTTCCACCACAGTATCATCTCACATTTATCTCGTCCCATATCAGCACTGGTTCACTGTAAACATACTTTATACATTAAATCTCCCCCGTTTCTTCTGCAGTCCCCCATGTTTGATGGGAAGGTCCCCCACTGGCACCACTTCTCTTGCTTCTGGCAGCGAGCAGCAGCTCAGTCCACTACTGATATTGCTGGGTATTCTGACCTCCGCTGGGAAGACCAGGAGAAGGTCAAGAAGGCCATTGAAAGCGGTGGAGCTGCAGGAGGTCAGTACATGACTTTAGCATTTGACTCATGTCTTTAACGGACACAACATGTACGGCCCCAGTGTCCTTTCATGGAGACGAGAGAGCAAATAGTTCATCATAACAGTAAACATAACATTTTACATTCGTACATAGAGATATTTCTGTATACTGTAGTATCTCAGAGGTTTGACATATACAGTGTTTGCCTTCTGGTGATCACACATGTTTTTATATCAATACATTTACTGCCTGTTGTGTTAAAATAAACAATCTGTTGTAGTATTTGCTCAGGTAAATATTAGCCTCATACATATATATATAGTTTTTTATTATTTGATTACTCTTTGTTAACTGGAATGATTTTTTGACTTCCTTCTTGTAGGAAAAGGAGACCAGAAGAGTGGAGCTAAAGGAGAGAAGACACTAAATGACTTTGCAGTTGAATATGCCAAATCAAACCGCAGCACGTGCAAAGGCTGTGAGCAGAAAATAGAAAAGGTTAGCAGTCAATTTGCACACAGGAAAACTTGTTTGTATTAGTTGTTGTTATTATTATTATTATTATTATTATATTGTAACATTCAGTGTATTCATATATATATATTCATATGTCTCCTCCAGGATCAGATCCGCGTATCCAAGAAAACTGTGGACCCAGAGAAGCCCCAGCTGGGTCTCATTGACCGCTGGTACCACACAGCGTGTTTCGTGAGCCGCAGGGAGGAACTGGTCTTCAAGCCTGAATACAGCGCCGCTCAGCTGAAGGGTTTCAACGCGCTACGGGCAGAAGACAAGGAGGAACTTAAGAAGAGGCTCCCTGTTGTCAAAACTGAAGGGTGAGGAAGAAGGAGAAGGGATACTATTCTTTTGTGCAGGTTGTGACTGATGTTAGCATTTCGACATTCAGTGTTTGTGATCACGAGCCTGGTCAGGTCCGGTGTGCGTTGCGGACAGCCGCCCCTTCTCTGTCATCACCACTAGCCTCTCTGTCTCCCACCGTCCTGCAGCACAAGAAAATGGCCTTGAAGGTGTCCCTGTAAGCTGTCATTGTGTATGCATAGAGGAAGGGGTTGACAGCAGAGTTTGCATGTGACAGGATGATGGCAGTGAGTAGCAGCTCTAGTGGCACGGGGCAGTGAGGGCAGAGCAACAGGAAGCAGTTGATTATGTGTAGCGGGATCCAGCAGATTGTGAAAAGGAAAAGAACCAGAAAAAGTGAAGTAGCGGTCTTCATCTCCCGACGCATGCTGGCGGCGGCCTTCATTTGACCCTCCGCTCTGCCACCTTGCTCAGATGTGATGCGCCTCACCTGCCGCTTGACCGTGACAAAAATCTGGGCATAGATGAGAAACATGATCACCAAGGGGGCCAGCACACAAGCAAAGAAGTTGAAATAGACCATGTAGGTCATGTCCACCACCAAGACAAAGAAGCAGTGGCCCGTATCAGGCGGTGTCTTGTGCCAGCCCATGAGAGGCACAAGCCCAATGAGGAAGGCCAGCAGCCACGTGGTCAGGATCACCAACACAGCGTTGCGAGGCGTCATCAGGACCTGGTAGCGGAAAGGCATGAAGATGGCCACGTAGCGCTCCACCGCCACCGCCAGCAGGCTGAAGATGGAGCTCTGGGTGAACATGATTAAAACACTCAGCATGAGCAGACACAAGTAGAGATTGTGACGCGGCAAACCAATGTCAGTCAGGATGGCACAGGGAATGGCAATCGTGCCCACGCAGATGTCAGCGACCGCAAGCGAGACCAGGAAGTAGTTGGTGACTGTGCGTAACTTGCGGTTGAGGCCCACGGCAGCGCAGACCAGCAAATTGCCGACCGTGGAGAAAAAGGCGATGACGAGCTCAGCCACCATGTACGCCACATTAGGGGAAATGACCAGGTCAGCAGGTGGCGGTGAAGGAGAAGGTAGGGAGGAGTTCTGGAAAGGCTGCAGGAAAGGGGAAGACGGATGGGATGAGTTTCTAGTTTGGCGCAAAGTGTAGAGGTTCAACAACACAGGGTTGTTCTCCATGGTTGTCCTGTAGAGAGAAATAAGAGTCAGGTTATAAGTCGTACCTTAACTTCTCAGCAGGGTGATGAAATGCAAATAAGCTGTAGAAGCACTCACCAATCCACAGCAGAAGGGTTCTTTTTAAAGTGTCACTACTCGAGAAACTAAGTGGTTCGTTATTATTCTGCCAGCATCCATCTTGATACTGGGCGCCTGTCTTCACATTAAAGATCACAAGCGCGCTTCTTCTCCGAAGGACGCTGTTTTATAGAATTCCCTTTTCCCCTCTTGATGTCAGTTGTTGTCTGATAAGGGATGTTTTTCTTGTTTGTTCTTTCACTCCAAAGGATCTGACTGCTACTGCGCGGTCATTAACTGATGTGTGTGTGGTCTCATGGGGAGGCTAATAAATGTTTCTTGTCAGGGCAGGGTGGATGATATCAGCATTGACACCTGGGATTGTGGAGACATGTACTTGCTTGTGTGCGTGTGTCCATTAACTGATGGGGCCCTAATGATTTTGTCTAATGAATAAAGGTGTCAGACTCAGAGCTTGTTTGTTCCACATCTTTTCTATTTCTAGTATCCCTTTTGGCCTCATTTAAGAAGTTAGTTTGGATGTTTTTTCATCCTCCTTTTTTTGTACATGCTGATTAAGAAAACCAAGCAACAAAAGTTTGGAAGAGAACTATTTTGAACTTCTGTTTGCACTTACAGGAAGCGTAAAGCTGATGAGGTTGATGGAGTATCAAAGAAACAGAAGAAGGAGGCAGAGGCCGAGGACAAGAAGCTGGAGGAGCAGTTGAAGGTACCTTTTCCATTTTAGTTCCTGTTTTGCAGTAAACATCGTGTTGTGTTTGGTGGCCATAAGTTACTCTGTTTGTGTTTTGATGTTGTTTTTGGTGTGTTTACAGAACCAAAGCCAGCTGATTTGGGGAATCAAGGACAAGCTGAAGAAGTTTTGTTCAACCAACGATATGAAGGAGCTGCTAATTGCAAATGGCCAGGAGGTTCCCTCTGGAGAATCCAATGTAAGAGAGCCTCATCTCATTTCACCCCTACTTCATTCAAAATTGCCATTTCAAAAAATCCAGACATTACTATTTACACATTGAAGTTAAATAATTACACCTGTCATTAGCCACAATTTGTCATATTAATAATCTTTGTTTTTTTACTGTACATATGACATATGAACAGCTGTAACTACAGCCCCTGTAATGCCCGATTCTTAACCGTTCCATGACACAGCATGTATGTGTATGTTGTGTAATTGACAGGTGGTGGACTGCCTAGCCGACGGCATGGCTTTTGGTGCTCTTGATGCCTGCAAGGAGTGCATGGGCCAGCTGGTGTTCAAGGGTGATGCTTATTACTGCACAGGAGACATCTCAGCCTGGACAAAGTGTGTGTTCAAAACCGCAACACCCGTACGCAAAGACTGGGTCATCCCCAAGGTAGGTCACCTCGTTTCAGGACTCCTTTTGGTTCTTTATATAGTATATATTTCCATTCTGAATCACCACCTGTAGTCTGTGCGCATTATTCTTGTCATTGTAATGAAATATAAAGTGGTTGCGTATAGTGGGAGGCGCTGGATAAAAATAGAATAAACATCCAAAGATCAAAAGGATTTTTGTTATATTTCACTACTTGGAGTATTCTGGCTTTATCATTTTAGGAATTCCATGAACTTCCCTTCCTGAAAAAATTCAAGTTCAAGCGACAGGACAGGGTTTACCCCAAGGTGGCTCCCACCCAAACCCTTACCGCAGCCAAAGCACAGCCCTTGGCGAGTGCATCCAGTGCCCCGACTGAGCGACTGCCAGAGGGAGCACCTGCAGGTTAGTGAAGAAACCCGAAGATGTTTGTCAATATCTTGCAAATATATTATTTTATTCCCTCTGTATGCTGAGCTTGTGATCATCTGGGTTTTTGTACCACAGATAAACCCCTTACTGGTATGAAACTGTTGGCTGTGGGCAAGCTGTCCAAGAACAAGGATGATCTAAAGGCTGCTGTGGAGGAGATGGGCGGAAAGATAACCAGCACAGCCAATAAGGCCTCGGTCTGCGTCAGCACCAAGAGTACGTAACCAATCAAAAAAACGAAGAATTGCTAATATGTGGGCCAGTCAGTGGCTTCAGTTCCTTTTTTTAAAAACGTGTCGAATCTGATTCAGGAATAACATTTCTTCTTCATGACATGTAATGTGGCATTTTCAGAGGAGGTGGAGAAGATGAGTAAGAAAATGGAGGAAGTGAGGGACGCCGGCGTGCGCGTGGTCTCTGAGGATTTCCTCACAGACATCAAGTCTTCGGGTAAAGCCCTCCAGGAGCTGGTCTCCCTGCATGCCATCTCTCCCTGGGGTGCGGAGGTCAAAGTCGAGACTCAGGCCCCGTCTGTGGCCTCCAAGTCTGGAACGCTGGCTACCAAGAGCACAGGCAGGGTGAAGGAGGAGGAAGGTAAACTGTGTGTGGCTGTTACTGATGCATGTGCTTAAAGACTGTTTGTTTGTGTGAATGTTAGGTCGTCTTTTAGAGAGATGATTCATCTTGACTTGTGTTATATCTTTGGACTGTTACGGTTTTTGGTGTGTATTTATAAATAATTGTAATACACTGTTACAGGTAGTAGCAAAACCAAGAAGATGAAACTCACAGTGAAAGGAGGAGCTGCTGTGGATCCAGATTCAGGTAGTCATGAGTACCCTGTATTGATTTTTTTGTTTTTCTGTCCCTTTTTTATTTTTTTATTTTTTTAGCCTTGACTGATGATTTCGATTTTCTTAGGTCTGGAGAACAGCGCTCATGTCCTGGAGCAGAGTGGGAAGATGTACAGTGCTACACTTGGTCTTGTGGACATTGTGAGAGGAACTAACTCGTACTATAAACTGCAGCTGCTGGAGGATGATGTACAGAAGCGGTCAGTGTTCCTGCAGGAAATCATTTCACTTCTTTTTTTTTTCTTTTCTTTTTTTTGTGAAAAACAATCTTTTTTTGCAGTTCATTAAAAGGTGCATTCAGATCAATTAATAAGGCATTAGATAGTCTTAGCTTGCTAGCTGTGGTGCAGTGTTTGCTTCCTTAAATAATAACTTGATAGAATAATCATTCTCCATTATCTCTTAAGGCTGAGTTATAGTGTGTTGAGTTTTGACTAAAACTGAAACTCCCTCGTCTCTCTCCTCATTCTGTCTTGTGTCTTCCTTGTTTCATTTCCCCACTCCACGCTGCTCATATGACGAAAGGATGAGAGAATAAAAGGAATAGACAAGAGCATGTAATGCAGCAAGGCAGTGTCCCATATGTGCCTGTTTGTCTGTGTGTGAGGACACATGTATGTTTTGAAGAGGCATTCTTAAAGAGCATAATTAACTCATCTGGGTTTTCCATGAGTTGCTTCCCATACTTTGAATTACTTCTATTTTTTTACATTGTGTCACCAACTGTAACAAACAAATTTCCCCCAGGGATCAATAAAGTATTTCTGATTCTGATACAATGCACACACACACCAAGTGGACCCATCACAGTTGTTGCTTTCTCCCTCACTGCAACGTATAGTTACTTTTCAAGGGAGGTGCACGTCGGGCTACGATGTAAGGTGTACAATGCTACGCCTTTGATTTGGTGCAGAAGTATGAATCAGGCTTTAAGCCATCTGTCATGTTTGTGCAGGTACTGGGTGTTCAGGTCATGGGGCAGAGTGGGTACCACCATTGGAGGCAACAAGCTGGACAATTTTCATGACAAGAATTCTGCCCTGGACAACTTCCTGGGTGTCTACAAAGAGAAGACGGGCAACAGCTGGGGCTCCACCAACTTCACCAAATATCCCAATAAGTTCTACCCCCTGGAGATTGACTATGGACAGGTACACACAACACACACACACACAAAACCATACAGTAGACATCCTACAGCATATTTTCTGTATCTGATGTGTATATCTGATGTTTCTTGACAGGATGAGGAAGCAGTGAAGAGGCTGACGGCAACCGCCGGCACCAAGTCCAAGCTGGCCAAACCCGTCCAGGAGCTGATCAAGACGATCTTTGACGTAGAGAGCATGAAGAAGGCCATGGTGGAGTTTGAGGTATGACGTGTGGTTGTATACATGTGAAAGAAAAACCAGATTAGACTGGTCTAGCCTGTTAAAGCCTGCATCATATCGCATATTTTGGCAGTGTTGGGAGCTTTTGTTGAGAAGTTAATTTATAGCCAGCACCATCAGTCCTGTTGTGTCTTGTTGTGTCCACAATTAACTTAAAGCTAACAGTAGAGCAACTACAATGTAAAAGAATATTTCCATCTTAATAGAACATCATATGTCATCATAAGGAGCACACATGTATATCTTATCCGTCCGTTCCTGTCTTCAGATCGACCTCCAGAAGATGCCTCTCGGAAAGCTGAGCAAGAGGCAGATCCAGAGTGCCTACGCTCTTCTCACTGAAGTACAGCAGGTCAGTAACCAACTGCTTCTGGATCGTCTCTGTTCACCTCTCCATTGGGATTCCTCTTTGTAGGACTGTGGTGCATTGCAGTCCACTTTAACACACTCCATCCCTTATTAATTCAGTAGAGTTAGTGATGAATGTGTGACATTACTAAAAGTAGTGCTTGTGTGCGAGTTGTTAGATATCTGTAGCGAATAAAGCCTTTTTTATTAATAACTTTGACTATACTAATCTTTTTTGATAATAGGCTGTGTCAGATTGTCTGCCTGAGTCCCAGATACTGGATCTCTCCAATCGCTTCTACACCCTGATCCCTCATGACTTTGGTATGAAGAAACCTCCACTGCTCAACAACCTGGACTACATTCAAGTAAGGACACATACTGTATCCTACTGAACAATATGCTCCTGTTTTATCAATGGATCTCATAACATCCACATACATCACTGTTCAGGCTAAAGTTCAGATGCTGGACAACCTGTTGGACATTGAAGTGGCATACAGCCTGCTGA